AGTTTAGGTATGTCTGTGATATGTATAAAAGTAGTAAGAAGTAGGTTTAGTAAAATTGCGAGTATGTAATGTAATGTAAAAATAGAGGGGAAGAAGCAACGCTTTGATGTATTTATAAAATAATAAAGATTGTAAGATAGGAATATTGTGTAGTGTTATGTGGGAGGAAGGGGTAAAAAATACATTAAATGAAGAAACATATGTTTATTGACAAAAATGATGACATGATGAAATTTTCATACAAATAAAAAACGTTAGACATCGCACACATGCAAATATCTGTTGTATGGTAAAAACACTTCGCCGGTGAAGGGGTGAGGCGGGGCTGCTCTTCAAGCTCGATTATTGGTTTGCTGGTGAAGTTTCTCAGGTAGGCTGCTTTTTCACGTCCTTTCACATAAATTCTGTCTGCCCCATCCGCAATATGTTTAATAATGTTTCCAAACTTATGTAGGGGTGTAAACCCTGAATTCCAGGAGATACCATGGTAATTATCAGTCAACCACTTCGCCTGAATCTTCAACGGTGGTGGCAGCAGATCCCAAGGAAAAGGAGCTTTGAAAATATAATGACATAACCTAACACCATCATAGGCGCAAAATTCTTTTGCGAGAAATTTATTATTTTCAATTTTAAATCCTTGAACATCCAAAACGACACTCATATTTGTAAGTAGGAGAATTTTGTATATAGAATGCGTCTTTGACAATAGGAATTGAGTGCTTCTTTCAAACTTTGCAATTTCTGATAATACTCTCTGAGAGCTTGTCTGTAGGATGATGTCATAATGAGAATAAAGGAGATTTAGTCTGAACAAAGATATTTATATTGTGATTGATCATGATTGATTAAGCTCTATCGCTGTTTAACAATTTTGGTTAAAGGGTTGTAGGTGAAAACGCGATCGTGTAGGATGAGACAGTAAGCAGATGTTTCCGGAGGAACATTTTCACTTGTCTCAAATTCAATTCGCATAACCACCGATCCAGATTGGATACTTTCCTTCTGTTTAGAGCAATCAATATGTGTGATAGGGGCAATAGAAAGGAAATCTTTTGGGGAAAACAGAGGTTCATTTTCACTCTCATAATAGGAGGAGCGGAATTTTGAGTACATTTCATACAAGAGAGCAAATTTTTGGTTTTTAAAATCCAAAAAGAGATCATTATATGGGAAGCGGTCGGAGTTGAGGAAAACCCGAATATTGGTCAACTTGCAATGATCAAATTGTGACATATTGGAGGTAGATACTTGTTTTTTATTAGTTTGAAAGGCTAGGATAACATGTCTAGGGGTCTCGAGCTTCGTTGTAGTTTTGACTGGCCAGGTGTGACGCGTTGTTTCAGGGAGTGATGGATACTCTACTAGTTCCCAACTGCGAAAATATAGTGGAATTTCCATGTTTTTGTTGAGAATTTTTGTAAGAGCTAGTTGTTGAGGAATGTCAACAGATACGTGGGGTACTCTCCACTGAATCTTATCAATCCGAATTTTTGGTTTTTCGGATGTAGTAGTTGCTACAACAGCATCAAGGTCATGACTACTACGGATTAATACTAACTCCTGTTTCATATTGAGGAGAATTTTTCGATAGTCTTCAAAGAATCCCATCCACATGCTTAAAGGAATACAAACATTGAACTTGCCAGACTCAGAAATAAAAGTGTCTTTTGGGAACCAGCCAGCATTTTGCAAGCGTGAACTCTCATTTTCATTAAAAGACAGATACCCTTTAAGGGTGGAGGTAAGACCAACATTTCGAACGGAATCGACTACAACTCCGTTCAGTTCATAACGGAGCTCACGGAACAGAAAAGCAAAAGCGTTATTGATTAATTGCAGAGTTTTAACAGTAGTTCCATCAGCGTTTTTAGTCGTAACAGCAGTTCCATCGGCTTTGGTTAATTCTCCTTCGAGATACAAAAGACTTTGTGACGGGAGGGTATAGGCATCTAGTTCTTGAACAGCAATGCGAATTTCATCGTTGTAGTCAAAGTTGGAATTGATAAAAGGTTGATAAGTGTGATACTCCAGTTCTGTAATAGAATTATCAACAAGAGGTTTTTGTGTAACGTTGAGAATACTCATCCTACAACACGTGAAAACCTAGATTTTCCAAAAATTTTCTATTATCGTTAGTAAGTTGCAATGTTGATTGTTGTCGAAATGATCTTCTGCGTATGCGGGACGGCTTACCACTAATAGATGGTTTCGACTGACCTCGCTTTTTATAGGGAAAAGAGATCGGAGGCGCGTAATATCTAATGCCCATTGTTACCGGATCGTAAATGAAGTCGAAGTGTAATGGTCTCGTTACGAAAATTAATTATGTGACCGTCTTGATCAACAATGTTGACGGTAATGGTTGTGATTGCTTTAACACTCACTGGGAAATATAAAATATTTTGAGGTGATTCAACGATTTTATACCCGGGCGAAACAGAGGGAAAAAATTGATGGATGATGTGGCTTGGCACACCGTTGGAATATGAGCCTGTGGCTACATTGCAAGCAACACATATTGAATTCACTTTCAAAATTTGCACAGGAAAATCAGACGTATGTCTAATGATTGGGTCAAGACGTCGAGGTTTAAATCCGAGAAGGGATGCAATGGTACCATTCTGTGAAAAATCAATCGTAAAATTGGCTTTGAGAGAAACTGTTGTGGAATTCATATGAGGTGTAATGCTAATAATTTTCCCTTCTGGGAGATTTTGATCTAAATAATCAATAATATCTCGAATTTCATATGCGCCTGTAGGAAATGTAAGTAGTTCATTGTCACATGGAAACTTATTATTAGTTTCGTCTATATTGGGAATAACATTGAAGGATTCAAAGTTGCACAACCCGATTTCATAGTCCACATTATCATCAAGATATAGCGGGGGATTAAAATGTGATTGGAGAGTGGAAGAAGTTCCCGACAGCGTAAATGTGAGGGACGTCATTACTGTAGAACGTTTGAATTGCAACTTCTGTATTAGGAGTAACAGTAAGAAATATATAGAAATTGTAAGCATAGCTGTCCACAATTGTGAGCATTAAACTTTTGTATTGGAGTATAATTGTATACAATGCGAACATTTTTATCACTGCTACCAAAATATCTTATCAGCTGCAGTGGAGGGCGCAGATTCCCATATGAATCAAAGTATGAGACAAGATTGCCATTTTTCACGTATGCAACCCAATGAGTCCCGTCGCCAGACGAGTCATCCAAATTAACAATTCCACTTTCACAAGTCTGTATACCCTTTGGTAATTGATCTTTCATGAATACTCCTCGAAAAAAAGGAATGTTAAGTTGTTTTGCAAAGTAAAGTAGTTCAATGTCGGAAAGCGCATGGGATGGTAGGTGCCTTAGCAGTTTTTTTTGTACGGTGCTAAAAAAAACCCCTTTCCCGTGGGAGAAACCTTGCGAGAGGCTTCTAAAGCCAAGTTATGACGCTTCTGTTCCGCAAGTTGTGACTGATTGGCTTTAGCATCATTGACAGCTTTTGCAATGGAGGCAGCACCACCTCCAAGAGCTCCAAGAGCCCCGAGTATAGGTAGAAGTAAAGGTAGAAAGCCACCTGTTTTCGGTAGAGGCAGAATCCGTAAACGTCGCTTGGAACTTTGCGATTTTGGTGATTTTTTTCGCAAACCCTTTCCCATCTTGTTCAAACGTTTCTTTCTTTGTTGTGTACGATGTTTTCGCAGGCCAAAACCCATCTTTTTTTTAGCTTTCATTGCTCCAGCAACTCCCAAAGCTGCCATTCGTTCTCCAAAAGAGCTGTCGGATGCGAAGGCTCGCTGTATAGCTTGATCAGCCAAAAGTTTGTCCGCTTGTTGACGCGCAGTGAGATCTTTCTGCTGAGAATAGAAAATGTCGTGTTGTTTGCAAAATTCGTCAAGTGGATTTATACCAACATCTCCTCGTTGAAGACGTTTTTGCAGTTTGGTTGACGGGCCACAGAAATTGTAACCTGGGATGTGGGCTTCGAAAGGGAGATTTTCTATTACGTTGGAAATGAGGCCGCGACCTCGCACGATCGGTGTCTGCTGGAAAGTACGTGTCATGGTGGAGTGCACAATCATTATATACTCTTATTACGAATAGAGCGGGAGGTACTATACAGGTATATAGGAGTCCATTTGGATGGCTACTAGTAATCACACAACATCATGAGAATTGAGCAGACGATACCAAAGCTTCAGGTAGATAATTACGATGGAATAGTGCAAGAAAAAACGTTCCGAAAACATGGAAGTGTGTTCAATAGTGCTTCTAAACGGGCTCTAATTGTTGGTAATAGTGGTGCTGGAAAGACTAATATCATGATCACCCTATTAATACACCCTCACGGATTACGATATTAAAATGTCTATTTGTTTTGTAAATCACCCTACCAAACAAAGAATCAATTTCTTCGCTCAGTTTTAGAACCTCTAAAAGAGATAGGATATTACGAGTACACGAACGGTGATGATATTAATCCTCCAGCGGAAATCGAATCAAATGCGATTATGATTTTTGATGATGTTGCATCATGTAATCAGGATATAATGCGTCAGTACTTTAGTTTTGGGCGACACAAAAATACAGATTGCTTCTACCTGTGTCAAACATACACAGCAATTCCCAAGCAGTTATTAAGAGATAATGCAAATCTTCTCATACTTTTAGCACAGGATGCATTAAATTTGAAGCATATTTACGATGATCACATTAGCTTGGATATGTCGTTTCAACAGTTTAAAGATATTTGCTCACTGTGCTGGCAGGAACCATACGGTTTTGTTGTGGTTGATAAAGATTCACCCAAAAATAATGGGAGGTATCGGAAAGGTTTCGACAAGTATATATACCTATAGTGTGGAATATAAAGAGCGTGTAAGATTAGCAGTACCAGTGTTACGCCAGCCTCTCCATAATACGTGATATGGATCCAAAAATTGCAAAGGAATTGGTGAAAGCCAGACAAGCAGTCAAAGAAAAGTATCGAGCATTAAAGTCGGATATTGCCCAATCGGAAACCCAATTGCAAAAGCAGTGGAAACCTATATCGGAACCGCTGCAGCAGTTACTTGAAAAAGTAGAGCCAGTCAAAGTAAAACCAGAGAACTGGAAATTAGAATCTAAAACATCAACACCTCAGAAATCACCACTTTCACAGAAATTAACACCGACAAATATATACAATAGATACCTCCCCACTACTACAAGTTTCCTTGAAGACACATTATCTAACCTTCCCGAGCACTCTATTTTACAAGACGTTTCCGGGATAGAAGAATCACGTCCCGATGCTACAGTACTAGAACGAGAACGTGATGTTGACGAGCAAATGATTGCTCACACACGGGAAGAGTTTCGGCGCCTAAGCAAAACACCTGGTTATCAAAGTTATTTAGAACAGTTCCATCCATTACCTCGTCAATATATCGATGAGTCTATACGGGGGGATGAAGAGAATTTTGATCGATATCACGGTATAACACACGATTGGATCGGCGAAAAATTAAAATTGGGGAATACCCCAATAACCCTCGAGGAGTCGGATCTAATCTTAGACAATATCAGATATCCAGGAACGCCAGGTCTGTACGAGTTGTTGTTCAAGAAAGACCCTCGTGGATATAAACAGACCGATCTGGAGCACTACATGGATATGCTAAAACGGACCAATGCATATCGACGTAATTTTGATTCTAATTTACAAATTCAAGGAGTAAACACTTTCAAGTATAAAACAATAATTCGACCATATTTAGTAAATCACAATCTAATAAAAGTATCCGCTGAGGGTGCAAGCAAAACGGGGTCTTTTCAGAAACCGGCACCTCCTAAAGCTCGACCCAGATCACAATCATCCAAACATGTAAGGGGTGGTATATTAGAGTATTCCCCGAAACCAATTGAGTATGTGTATTTTGATGATCCCAATGAGTTGGTCAATCGATTGCGCTTGCTCATCGCATCTGCGTATGCTGGTAATAACGGGCATAATAATGAAATCATGTCTATAATTGAGGAGTTGCGCGAATTAAAAATTATAAAATGAAGTTGTAACGTAATATTACTCTATTTTCGTTGCTGCAGTTGTACGATCAAGATGCCAATTGATAAATTTGGAAGACATATGCTCCATTCAAAAAAGAGGGACATATCTTCAATCTTCAGTGCTTTTCTAGCATCTAAACTATTCAGCGTATGTGTGGTACCCATTTATTCCAACACATTCAGCGCATTATTTTACACATTTGGTGAAAATAGTAGGGACTATATCGTTCCTGTGACCGGGATAGTTGATAGTATAAATATACCTCCCAAAATAAGAGTGAAATGTGGTCAAAGTGATGTCAAAGTCGACACACACCTGTCGAAAGGGGATATTCTGAACTTCTATTCATCTCATGAACCAAAACCTGACCTTATAGGTAATATCGTGATGCGCTGTCCAATCATACAAGAATGATGGACTTTAAAAAGCAGGTCATTGAGGAACTTCATAAACCGGCTCCCAGAAATTATAGACGTCGACGCGTTATTGTGAAGGGTATCAACGATCTCCTACAGGCAGATTTGGTGGAAATGCTTCCGTATCAGAAAGTTAACAAAGGATTCCGTTACATTTTAATTGTCATCAACGTTTTTAGTAAATTTGTGTGGGCAGAACCAGTCAAACGAAAAACTGGAAAAGATGTGACAGCTGCAATGAGTACAATTTTATCGCAAATGCAGACAATTCCGAAAAATTTACAAACAGACCTGGGTAAAGAATTCTACAATAGTGACTTTAAGAAGTTAATGGAAGCGTACAAAATTAATCATTACAGCTCCTACTCAGCGACCAAAGCAAGTGTAGTTGAAAGGGTGAATCGCACTTTGAAGAATCGTATGTGGAAGCAGTTCAGCTTTCAGGGATCGTATAAATGGTTAGATCTCCTATCATCAATCGTTGATGCATATAATAACACCAAACACAGCACAATTGGGATGAAACCAAAGACGTGAACAAAAGTACAGCAAAAACACTGTTGAGAACGGCATACACACATTTGAAAACGTTAGATCCAAAGGGTGTAAAATATCAACGTGGAGATCATGTCCGCATAAGCAAACATAGGACAGCATTTGCTAAAGGATACACTCCTAACTGGTCCAATGAAATTTTCACAATCCGTAAAATACAGTATACCAATCCCACATCATACTTACTGGCTGATTCGAGCGGTGACGAGATTCTAGGTGGATTTTACGCTGAGGAGCTTCAAAAAGTCAAGTATCCAAATATCTATCTTGTAGAGAAAGTGGTGCGACGTAAAAAAAATAAAGTGTTAGTCAAGTACTTAGGACTGGATAACAGACATAATTCGTGGATTAGAAAAAGTGATTTATTTGCATGACATGTATATTATTTAAACCAATCAGTTTTATAACACAGCTTTTTCAATAAAACACGATAGTAATTTAAAATTCTTTTTAATTACAATGACTTTACAGAATAGTTAGGATAGTCTGAATAAAATTTCAGCGTTGGAGCCTTGTTGAGTCCTTCAAGTTTGGATGTTGGTATGCCAGTTCCATAGCAGTCCTGATGTTCTCCGAATGCGGCAAATCAGAGATGTGTTGGATCACGAAGTCTCGCACATCCATGTTGGTGGTTCGCACATCTTGGACAAGTGTGTTGAAATACTTATTAAACTCCTGAGTTTTCAGCATATTAATGGTGTAGGCAATCAGCGGGGCTAATTGAAATAGCTTCAATACGGTCTCCTTACCCAAATAAACGACGTTTCTCCATCGATCTTCAATTTTGATTGTTTGAAAATCTGGAAATCTCTCAAAGGTGATACAGACGGCGTTGGCACTGATCGAATGGAAAATATCATCACTGAAGAAAAAATTGGTTATAGCTCCTTCTTGATTTAATATCTCATACCAGTCTTCTTCATTTAACGTAACGCCATTGTTTTTCAAACCACTGATAGTGATTACAGGGTGGAAGCTCCACTGATATGCTCGACCAATGCTTATCCATTTTGATTTCGATGGATTTAGATGATATCGTTGCTCCTGGATGACAATTAACTGTGTCTGATCTACCCCACTTTGTACAGATCGTACCCCCTTGTCGTTTTGCACACCGGCACTCATGTTGTAACGTTATGTGAAATTCAGAAGACTGGGATATGAAGCTTCGTGGCTAACTTTATACAGTGTTGATCACCCCTCCATTCACCAACTTCCCCCTCCCAAAAGTTGACGCAAGTGCAAGGGAAAATGATACTACCGTTCATGCTGCCATAGATATATATATATTAATGAATTTTGTCACACACAGAGTATTTACGTTTTGGATAAATCACACAAGATCTTTAAACATGCTACATAATCTTCGAATTTGGTGGATGGCCATTTCACACTACAGGGTCCAGAGGTCCATCCGAGGGTTTCATCTCCAATGTTACCCTTGGCTATATTTTTCTTTATCCATTTCAATACAGTATAATGTCTCATCTTATTTTCTACATCAAATACAAATTTAATATCATGCTGCTGTATAATATCGATTAAACGTTCTAGTGATACACAATCAGCTAGATATGCGATTTTACAGATGCTTTCATCGATATGTGATACAATGTCTTTATACCTCTTCGTAATATTTTCTACAGGATGCGGTTTATCTACATCTTCATAGTTACTATCAGATAACAACTTACATAAATAATATTGTTCATATGCTGATGGTGTGTAGGGCATATTATCCAGTAGGTCTTCAAATTCTTTGATGCTTAAAACCTCATAATCTCTCTCTTTTAAACTTTGCAGTGTTTCTTGTACCACCCAATCTAGATGTTTCTTTTTTGTTATTACACTGGAAAGCACGTGGGGATGGCAACTGTGGGCATTGGTAATCCAATTGAATACTTCGTCAGGTATTGTAATTTCCTCTAGCACAAAGTCCAGCACTGGAAATTCTTGTTTTTCTGGATTTCGAGTCACAAATTGTCGAAGCTGTTTTTTCAACACCTCTTCAGTTACATGACACAATTGCATGTACAGTGAATAGTATGTCGTAGTACTCATCTTTGAAACTGAATGAGGTGCGTTTGTTAAGAATATATTTATATTCTTGTCCCCACCACAAACCCCTATTCTATGATCATGCTATCTGATGCTTATTATTCAACACAATGGCTTCTTGCATCAAGTGCAGTAATGTATCCAAGCGCTCCTCATGTGACATGTTATGAAATAATATATCTTGATGACCCCAAGCTAATGTCTTTGTTGAGTTTGGTATCAAGAAACGTTTATCATCCGTACTGGTCAATGCTACTTTTTTTATATAATTTGTGTAGATATTGTGCGACTCCGATTTAAATACATAAATCGTACAGTATACAGATGTCCGTTTCTCCTCAACAATATCCTTATAATGTAGCAAATGTAACTGATTTTTTACACTCGCCTTAGATATACCTTTGGCTCGTTTAGCTACTTGGTCTACCGCATCTATACAGTATGCTTTGGGACCTGTACCATAAAATGCAGACAGTATCTTACCAGCATGTTCGTCTTTCATCTTACCCAACTCTGACGCTGTTTGAGGCATATTATGTGGGTTGGAAGCATCATAATTGGATGTGTCAAAGTAATGTATGTGTGATTTCATGTCCTCATAGAAATTATCGGTTTCAACATGTACTATTAGCGAATCAGTGTCCGTGTAAGCTACAGACACCTTATCACCATATTGACGCTTCAGAAAGTCATAGAAAAAGTCATATATTACCGTTTTTGAGACATCTAAAATACAAAAGCCAACATATGTGGGACGACAATAATCAATCATTGTTTTTTCCATTTGAATGGCTACTAAGTTTTCAGAAAATATTCTGTGCTCTTTAAAAGTTGGTTTACTAATATAATTTGCAGCACCTATTTTATGTTTAGATTTTTCAAATTGAGTAGCTAATTTGATGTCGACTCTGTTCTCCATGTTTTCAATGGTTTTTCCAAAAATACAATTGATCATTAGTTTGAACAAATCTCTTTCAAAAGGATTCAGTGCTGCATTTCTAAGTGTGGTGTTTAACTGTATGTAGGACTTCAACCAGGCAGATTGTGTGAATTTAATGCCTCTATGAATTTTTGTTAAAATAATACCATGTTTCAAACATTGCTTTAGATTACGATAATGGATAATGTAGCGTTCTTTGTTGTGCAAATTTGGAATTAATTTTGAGCTTTGACTGTCGGGTGGTTTAAAATTTTCTGGACAAAATGGTAAATCGTTGAAATAATTATGTAGCTCAGTCGGTATGGTTAAATCGACTTCTAATGCATACCCAATATCCGATGTATCCGAAATCTGTGTAATTTTCTCTTGAATCCTATCCATCTCATCTCGTGTTAACCATGCAAAATTACCAGTTGGTAGGTATTGTTGCATCGTATAACCGTACAAATTTGTTGCATCAAGGTAAACTAAATACGATGATGC